GACTCCTGCTTTCTTTTGGTCTCCGTTTGCGTGGAATATTTTTTTCCAGCCCTTCACTTTTAGTCTGTATGTGTCCCTTGCTTTGAGGTGGGTCTCTTGTAGACAGCATATATAGGGGTCTTGCTTTTGTATCCATTCAGCCAGTCTTTGTCTTTTGGTTGGGGCATTCAACCCATTTACATTTAAGGTAATTATTGATAGGTACGGTCCCGTTGCCATTTGCTTTGTTTTGGGTTCGAGTTTATACCACCTTTCTGTGTTTCCTGTCTAGAGAAGATCCTTTAGCATTTCTTGAAGAGCTGGTTTGGTGGTGCTGAATTCTCTCAGCTTTTGCTTGTCTGTAAAGCCTTTGCATTCTCCTTCATATCTGAATGAGATCCTTGCTGGGTACAGTAATCTGGGTTGTAGGTTATTCTCTTTCATTACTTTAAGTATGTCCTGCCATTCCCTTCTGGCCTGAAGAGTTTCTATTGAAAGATCAGCTGTTATCCTTATAGGAATCCCCTTGTGTGTTATATGTTGTTTCTCCCTTGCTGCTTTTAATATTTGTTCTTTATGTTTGATCTTTGTTAATTTGATTAGTATGTGTCTTGGGGTGTTTCACCTTGGGTTTATCCTGTTTAGGACTCTCTGGGTTTCTTGGACTTGTGTGACTATTCAATGTGCTTTATAATTTGTATTTTAAAAGAGTGACAGTATTATAAGCAATGTTTTTAATAGATCCTTTTGTGTATAAATTTATAGGATTTTTAATGATAAAATTAATTGATGGGTATGGATTCAAATACATCAGAAAAGAACACCAAAATTTTTGAGAGAAAAATTGTTACATGAAGAAAAGCCATAAATTCAGGATTATACATAAGTAATGTTTAGAGTCATGAAATTTTATGGATTTTTATCTGACCCTCTAACTTGGCCTCATACAGAAAAGAGCTGCTTTGCAATTTTGCTTTGAAGTGGATAAAATCATGTTAAACTCAGTCTGCATATCTAGTATCACAGTGATATCAGAGAGAAAATCATAATTCCTCTATCTTGGCCTTTAGGTGTCTTGCATTAATTGTTCTGCATCCTTTGCATAATTTTCATGCTTGATTTTCACAGCAACACTTTTAGAACACCTGTTAGCCATCACCTTTCCTTCTGCCCGTAAATTTTTCAGAGGCCTGTGGGTCTCTGCTGAGTTTTGAGATATAGGTAGCCCCATTCCTGTTCTTAGTAGAGCAGTTCCACCTTGTGTGTGTTGATTGCTAATTTTCTTCTTAGAAACACTTCTGTTACTTTTTTGTGTCACGCTAATTTCTAGGCCTGGCGTGCTGCGATTCATGGAGTCGCAAAGAATCGGACACGACTGAGCGACTGAACTGAACTGACTGAATTTCTGTGTCTCCTCTCTACAACTTGAATGTTCTTCCCTCTCTTTTAAAAATAACTTTCATGTTTGTTGACTTTTGCCGAGACAGCTAGCTCCAAGTAATGAGAAAAAATTCTTGTCTTCCCTGTGACTAATCAAAAAAACCACAGTATTCTGAGTTTCAGCTTAAGATCTTTGGCTTCCTGTTGGCTCCTGTGGCTAGTTGCTCAGGCTCTTTCTATCGCCTGGAGGCTTGGCTGTGTGATTTGGGATTTTTTTTTGTTTTGGTAAGGAGAATGAAGTCCAAAGCCATTCTGAGGAACTTGAGTTTGAGAGACTGGTTCTCTTACAATAGTTCAATTAAAAAAAAAAAATTCTAGCTTTGTGACATAGAGCTCACCTTCCCTTCCTCTGCATCTCACTATAAAAAATTTTCTATCACGGCAGAAGCCGCCACATGGATTCCAGAAAAAAATGAAGCTTGAGGTCATAGACAAAAGAAATCCCGTGTTTATTAGAGTGGCAACAGTGGCAGACACAGATGATCACCGAATAAAAGTGAGTATTCTCTGTCGTGGTTTTGTTTTCCTTTCTTTCTTTTTTTTTTAATAAAACGTCTTGGATGAAAACTTCAGCAGACATTTAATTTGTGAAGTCCTAAAATTAGTAAAACCATAGAAATATGGAAATTAAGTGATTCTATATCTTTGTAAGTAAGTATTTTTCTACTTTTCTTAGTTTAATCTAAATAAGTTTTCTCCTTATTTATGACTGACTTTTACTATTTTAAGTGTGTATGTGGAAGAAAACATAGATCTAGTGTATAAGGTAATCTTCTGTTCAGAAGGTGATATAATACTTCATTTTCCAATAGTATGTATATATTTTTTTAATGAAGTTCAGTGTTGTTTTATGGGATGTTGATTTTTGAGACATCCAAGGCCATTGCGTTCCTTCTCTCTGACAGTTTCTCTCTGGAAATTCTTAAGATTATCTTTGTCCCTAATATTTTGATGTTTTGTGATAACATACTTTCATATGAGGGTTTTTCCCCATGATCTTGCATAAATCTCCATATTCAGACTTTGAGCCAGTCCTGTCATTTTCCAGACCTCCTGACATACTTGCTGCCTCCACACTGAGTCCTTCTGGGTTCTACACGCTGAGCCCGCTCACCCTGGCCCTGCTCCCCCTCTCTCGGCGGCTGGGTTGCAGCCCACCCCCTCTCTTCCAGGGGGTCAGCTCTCCCTCACCCGCTGTGCCCTCGGCCTCATCATTGCCATGTCTGTCAGCTGCTTTCCTTCTCTGTTTGTCCTTCTGGGTTTATACATTGTCAAACGTAACTCACTTCAGAAGAGAGTGGAAGTAAGCACCTGGGTCTAAAATGTGATTTATTGAGTTGCCTTTCACCTGAACAGAAAATCCAACCAAATAAGTTTTTTTCTTTTTTTAATGAAATAGTGTGCTCTTAAAAACTATTATCTGTCTTAATCTTGAAATTGTCAATAATGAATATTAAGTTTTTAAAAAGGGTCCAAATTATACTTCCAGGTAAAAAATGTATCTAATTTCCTAAACTGTGATTTAAGATATGTTAAATTATCTGTACTATGCTTTGATATGTAGTAGTATATTTTCTTGGAGAAGGCAATGGCACCCCACTCCAGTACTCTTGCCTGGAAAATCCTATGGACAGAGGAACCTGGTAGGTTCCTGGCAGTCCATGGGGTCGCTAAGAGTTGGACACGACTAAGTGACTTCACTTTCACTTTTCACTTTCATGCATTGGAGAAGGAAATGGCAGCCCACTCCAGTGTTCTTGCCTGGAGAATCACAGGGATGGGATAGCCTGGTGGGCTGCCGTCTATGGGGTCGCACAGAGTCGGACGCGACTGAAGTGACTTAGCAGCAGCAGCAGTCTATTTTCTTTAGAATTTTCATTCGGCCTCATTGCTGAGTTGCTTTTATGTTAATTGTCTTTAGAGTGGAACATTTCTATTAAATATTTGTGGATGTCTCTTAGACTTCCCTTGTGGCTCAGCTGGTAAAGAATCTGCCTGCAGTATGGGAGACCTGGGTTCAGTCCCTGGGTTGGGAAGATCCCCTGGAGAAGGGAAAGGCTACCCACTCCAGTATCCTGGCCTGGAGAATTCCATGGACTGTGTAGTCCCTGGGGTCGCAGAGTTGGACATGACTGAGCGATTTTCACTTTCACTTGTGTTTTGTACAGTGCTTAAATATTTTGTGTTATATATTTATGTATCTTTCTCTTACTCTTTGTTAGGTAATTTTATTTCATTTCAAAATAGGACCCAGCAAGAGAACAGCTATCACTTAGCATTACAAGAAAGTCTGATTTTTTTTTGTTCATGAAAACCTCTTAATGTGCCAGTGACTCAAGTAGTAAAGATGAAATGAAACTGTACAAACTATAATAAATTTATTTCATCTGGGCTTCCATAGTAAGAGTATTAATTAGGTTTAATTTTTTTTATATATTATGTTTGCATAACTTCTGATAGCAATCTTTAATTGAAGTGTTGGTGGCTAAGCTGGTAAAGAATCTGCCTGCAGTGCAGAAGACCCAGGTTCAATCCCTGGGTTGAGAAGAGCCCCTGGAGAAGGGAATGGCAACCCACTCCAGTATTCTTGCCTGGAGAATCCCATGGACAGAGGAGCCTGGCAGGCTACAGCCCACGGGGTCTCAAGAGTCAGACACAATGAGCAACTAACGCACACATATTTCTGACAGCAGTTTTTAGTTAAAGTTTACTTGACCTATAATAGTTTATTAGTTTCAGATCTACAGTGTGATTCAGTATCTTTGCAGGTTATACTCTATTAAAAGTTATTACAACATAATGGCTATAATTCCCTTTGCTGTGCAGTATATCCTTGTTGCTGATCTGTTTTATACACAGTAGTTCTTATCTGTTAATCCCGCACCGCTAATTGGTTCTTTCTCCTCTGTCTCTCCCCTTTGATAACCACTAGTTTGCTCTCTGTATCTGTGAATCTTTCTGTTTTGCATGTACATTCACTTGTATGATGTTTTAGATTCCACATATAAGTGATTAGATAGCAGTTTTTAAGTGTATTTGCTCCTTATCAGATAATTGTATTGCTCTTGTGTTCATAATATTTAAATTAAATTTTAACTCTGAAATTTAACCTTAAACTGCTAAAATTCTCCCAGTTGCCAGCCAGCCTAATTTGTAGAAGAGATTCAGCTTATTTATAGTAACTAAAATTTTATCTTCTTTTTGTTGCATACTGTCATATATTGTCAATATATCTGTCATCTTTGGTAGATGACTTTTCATTCCCAAACTGAGATATCAGTTTTAGCCACCCTAGTTTGTAGAAGAGTTTCAGCTTATTCACAGCAACTAAAGTATTGTCTTCTTTTTGTTGCATATTGTCATATATTGGCAATATATCTGTCATCTTTGATAGATGACTTTTCATTGCCAAACTGGGATATCAGTTTTAATGAAAACTAGGAAGGGGTTTATGGTATCATTAGATATATTATCTTCAACATATTCTTAAAGGTATTTGAGAGGAAATTATTAAAAGAACCCTTTTATTTATGATGATACCAAAATTTTTGGAGTCTATATTGCAGTACAATAGTGTCCTTTTCAGTATCATTGGAAATTCTCAGTACACAGTAGAATTGCTTAGAAGTTAAGTAAATGACATGTTAGGTACACAGAAGTTACACCTATAAGTTATACCAAGTTATACGTCTAACTTCAGAACCTTCTTGTTGGGCTCAGCCAGTTTTTTTTTTCTTCTTATTTTCAATTATCACAAGTAATTCTAGTGTGTATCCAGGTTGGAGAACCATTTACTTATTAGGATTGAGTTTGTTTGCTATAGGAAGATAAGAATCTTAAGCTGGTTACTCTTCCTGACTGACTGTGATTTTTTTCTCCATTTTAAAATTTTATCCATGATTTCCTCCAGATGTGGAGTTCTGTGGGATTTAATTCTAGGATTAATTGATTTCTAAGCTTGAGAAAGCAGATTCATTGCAAAGGGCATTATTTTGAACACATATATACATGCTTTATTAACTCTGTACTTCTTCATTACATAAATATACCATAAGTTATATAACCAGTCTCGTGGATGGTAGGCATTCTGGTTTTTTTCTGGCACAACAATGAATTGAGTTATTTAGATTATCAAGTCAAAGATGATATGTTTAACTGTTAATCATTGTTGCCAAATACCTCTCCAGAAATATCTCACCAGTCAAGACTCCTGTCAGTGGTCTATGAGAGGGTCCATTAATCTCATGTTCACTAGCTCTAGGAATCACCAAAATGGAACATTCTGGCAGATCGAAAGGAAAAGAATTGCATCTTGTGATTTTAATTTGTAGCTTTTTAGTTATAAGTGAAGTTGTCTTTTTGTATGTTTACCATTTATTTTTATTTTTCTGTTAATGACCTGCTTGTTACTTTTCCACCTTTTCTGTTAGGTTTTTCATCTTTTTATACTGATACATGATTTTTTTATGAATTGAGGAACAAAGTACATTGTCACACGTTAACAAATATGTTTTTCAGGTTTCTTTTGGGTTTTTCGTCTTGCTAGCAGTAGTATTTGCCATTGTGAAGACTTGAACTTTGATGTAGTCGAGTTGATACATCTTTCATTTATGGCTTTTGAGTTTGGCATCTTACTTACGAAGGCTACTGAACTCTTAAGATAAATATATTAATTCATGCTTTCTTCTAGAACTTTTATTGTTCAGTTTTCATTATTTGAATTTTTATCCATCTGACATCTATTGTGTTTAATTTATATGTATATTCAGTGTACTATTTATAAGTTAGAATGAAGATGGTTACCATTGGCAGAGTTTTTACTGTAAGGATTTTTGTGACCTGAATTAAACTGTTGATCTCTTTTTGTTATCCAGGTTCACTTTGATGGCTGGAATAGTTGCTATGATTACTGGATAGATGCAGATTCTCCTGACATTCACCCTGTTGGTTGGTGTTCAAAAACTGGGCATCCTCTTCAACCTCCTTTGAGTAAGATACATCAGGATTACTTAAATGTTTCCACTATTGCATAGTGTGCTTAATATTCTCTTTTCCATCTCATTCTACTTCTCTACTGTACATTTTTTCTCTATGTAGTTGTTTTTCCTCTTACTGTATTTTTAGTTAACCTTTTAATTAACTTTTAGTCAAAAGTACATAAAAGAAAAAATTTAATATCTGAAAAAGTAGTGTGTGCCTAGACTTTTATTTAGCAGTCTTCATCATCTTTTAAAACTAGTACTAAATTTTGGTAGACAATTTGTCAGACTATCAAAATTTTAATGTATCAATGTTGATGTCCTAATAGTGACTTGATACAACAGTTTTGCAAAGGAGTACCATCAGGAGAAACTGGGCAAAGTATACAAGGAATCTCCCTCTGTGTTTACTTACAATTGCATGTGAATCTACCATCACCTCAATAAAAATTTTAGTTAAATTCAATTTTTTGAAAAAGGTATGCCGAGAATTTAACATGTGTGTGCTGTCACTTCAGTCATGTCTGACTCTGTGTGACCCCATGGACTGTAGCCCACCAGGCTCCTCTGTCCATGGGATCCTCCAGGCAAGAATACTAGAGTGGGTTGCCATGCCCTCCTCTAGGGAATATTCCCCACCCAGGGACTGAACCCGTGTCTCCTTCAGCTCCTGCATTGCAGGCGGATTCTTTACCGCTAAGCCACCGGGGAAGCCTTGAGCTTAACATATTGGATTTCAATTGTGGAGGAAAGTAAATACATTGTAAAAAGAAAAATGTGGCAATACAATACATTATTGTGGGCTTTCTTAAAAAGTTAGCATGCCCTCCCCAACTAGTGGCTTCATTCCTGGATGTCACCTAGAAACTTCAAAAGGCCACCAGAATGCACTGCATGATATTGGTCACAGTATGTTTAAAATAATAAACCTTGGGAACAAATATTGCTTAAATAAATTTTGGTGCACTTATAGTACAACTACTGTGCAAATCATAAAAATATTACTGTTCAGTTGAAGCTAAAGACCAAAGAAGACTGCTTCAGAATAGTATATACCCATGTTGTCCCTAATTTATATGGCCAAAGTAAACCAAAGATTTGATACATGTACATATGCAAACATAGGTACATTTGGGAACGCTTAGAACATCTAGGAAGGTCATGTTAACATGGTTAGTCAGGACTAAGGAGGGTATGAAATGTAAAGAGAGTCACTTAAAGGGGATCTATAGCTGTTATTCTGTATCCTGGTGTGTTGTTTGAAGTTTTCACAGCGTGCGAGTGTGCATATGTTAATTATGTTATTTACTTGATCAAGCTGTTTAGAATCATCTCATTATTTCAGATTTAGGTATCTCTGGAATTTGTGACATTTTGAAAGAGGGCTGGATCAAAGTTTACCATTTCACTATTAAAGACAGTGTGAACAAAGTGCTAGGTAAAACCTTCAGAAGTAGAGCCTTTAAACAGTTTTAATTTTGTAGGGCCTTCCTTTTCTGTGTGTTAAGTATTGATTGAAAAATTGTTGTTGTTGTTTTTCTCATTCTGCTCCAAGGCATTTGCCTGTCACAGCCTTAACTTTTTGCTTTTTTCTTTGGCTTTGTAATAGGCCCCTTAGAACTGATGGAAGCCTCGGAACACGGAGGCTGCACGACCCCAGGATGCAGAGGGATTGGCCACTTTAAGAGAGCGAGACACCTGGGCCCTCACAGGTATTTGGTGCTCCCGCTCACTTGGAGAGTCCTCCTGTGGTCGGACAGAGGTGCCTGTCCCTATTTTTGTTATCCAGGTTCACTTTGATGGCTGGAATAGTTGCTATGATTACTGGATAGATGCAGATTCTCCTGACATTCACCCTGTTGGTTGGTGTTCAAAAACTGGGCATCCTCTTCAACCTCCTTTGAGTAAGATACATCAGGATTACTTAAATGTTTCCACTATTGCATAGTGTGCTTAATATTCTCTTTTCCATCTCATTCTACTTCTCTACTGTACATTTTTTCTCTATGTAGTTGTTTTTCCTCTTACTGTATTTTTAGTTAACCTTTTAATTAACTTTTAGTCAAAAGTACATAAAAGAAAAAATTTAATATCTGAAAAAGTAGTGTGTGCCTAGACTTTTATTTAGCAGTCTTCATCATCTTTTAAAACTAGTACTAAATTTTGGTAGACAATTTGTCAGACTATCAAAATTTTAATGTATCAATGTTGATGTCCTAATAGTGACTTGATACAACAGTTTTGCAAAGGAGTACCATCAGGAGAAACTGGGCAAAGTATACAAGGAATCTCCCTCTGTGTTTACTTACAATTGCATGTGAATCTACCATCACCTCAATAAAAATTTTAGTTAAATTCAATTTTTTGAAAAAGGTATGCCGAGAATTTAACATGTGTGTGCTGTCACTTCAGTCATGTCTGACTCTGTGTGACCCCATGGACTGTAGCCCACCAGGCTCCTCTGTCCATGGGATCCTCCAGGCAAGAATACTAGAGTGGGTTGCCATGCCCTCCTCTAGGGAATATTCCCCACCCAGGGACTGAACCCGTGTCTCCTTCAGCTCCTGCATTGCAGGCGGATTCTTTACCGCTAAGCCACCGGGGAAGCCTTGAGCTTAACATATTGGATTTCAATTGTGGAGGAAAGTAAATACATTGTAAAAAGAAAAATGTGGCAATACAATACATTATTGTGGGCTTTCTTAAAAAGTTAGCATGCCCTCCCCAACTAGTGGCTTCATTCCTGGATGTCACCTAGAAACTTCAAAAGGCCACCAGAATGCACTGCATGATATTGGTCACAGTATGTTTAAAATAATAAACCTTGGGAACAAATATTGCTTAAATAAATTTTGGTGCACTTATAGTACAACTACTGTGCAAATCATAAAAATATTACTGTTCAGTTGAAGCTAAAGACCAAAGAAGACTGCTTCAGAATAGTATATACCCATGTTGTCCCTAATTTATATGGCCAAAGTAAACCAAAGATTTGATACATGTACATATGCAAACATAGGTACATTTGGGAACGCTTAGAACATCTAGGAAGGTCATGTTAACATGGTTAGTCAGGACTAAGGAGGGTATGAAATGTGAAGAGAGTCACTTAAAGGGGATCTATAGCTGTTATTCTGTATCCTGGTGTGTTGTTTGAAGTTTTCACAGCGTGCGAGTGTGCATATGTTAATTATGTTATTTACTTGATCAAGCTGTTTAGAATCATCTCATTATTTCAGATTTAGGTATCTCTGGAATTTGTGACATTTTGAAAGAGGGCTGGATCAAAGTTTACCGTTTCACTATTAAAGACAGTGTGAACAAAGTGCTAGGTAAAACCTTCAGAAGTAGAGCCTTTAAACAGTTTTAATTTTGTAGGGCCTTCCTTTTCTGTGTGTAAGTATTGATTGAAAAATTGTTGTTGTTGTTGTTTTTCTCATTCTGCTCCAAGGCATTTGCCTGTCACAGCCTTAACTTTTTGCTTTTTTCTTTGGCTTTGTAATAGGCCCGTTAGAACTGATGGAAGCCTCGGAGCACGGAGGCTGCACAACCCCGGGATGCAGAGGGATTGGCCACTTTAAGAGAGCGAGACACCTGGGCCCTCACAGGTATTTGGTGCTCCCGCTCACTTGGAGAGTCCTCCTGTGGTCGGACAGAGGTGCCTGTCCCTGGTTAGGTGGGCGGTAATGGTTTCCACGCACACTTAGTAGATATGAACCAATTCTGCATTCAGATCCATAGGAACTGTGGTTGTCATGGTGACCATGTAAAAATGAAGAGTGTATGTGTAGTTAAATATTCCTGGGAGAGAATGCATTTGTGATTTAAAATAGATTTACAGTAGCTTCTTGGCAACCTGACTAGTTTTATGGATACTTTACATCTTAAAGTCATTTGGGGGGTGACCATTAATAGTGAGAAGAGGGCGGAACTTGTTCAAAGTATTTGTTTGGTAAAATATTCTGATTGGGTGACTCAACAGTTTGAATAGTGAGAGGTGAGATTATTGTAGATTAGCAGCAAAGATCACAAAAAGCACAAATATAAATAGACACATTTCAGAATACATTGGTCAAAGTTAAGTGGTTTTCAATATTTTTCTCTTACAAGCAAAATTATACATTTGAAATTTGGTGTGTTACTTGGGTGATTTGAGTTATTTGTAGACATATTCAAATACTGCTGGAATAGCAAGAATTTCTGTGATTTTAACTGGGATTTTTAGAGAAAAGAGGCATCACCTATTCTGATATATATTAAAATAATAATTTGTCAGTGTAAAGTGTTCTAACTGCATGTTAATTGGATTGCCCAGTAAGAAAAATGATTCCTTGTTTATCTAGTTTATACAGGTTGTGAATCTTGGTCCTTAAAACATCTGAAGATTGCCCTGCCTGTTTCTCTAAGAATTAATAGGAACTGTAAAATTGACATGGCTGTTTTATCTTCATATAGTTTTCTTCTTCCTTAAATTTCTGTAACCTCAAAGCCTTTTGCAACACTACTGCCAAGTTTGTTTTATGGGATTCAGTGTGTTCCAGAGTAAAAATCTGCATGTAGACAGGATCATGATTCCATTTGCAAATATCCATTTAAAAATCCTTTTCGTGGCTTGTATGACTCCAAGCCAAAAGCAGTATGATTAAGGGGAGATAAAAATACTGTATCCTAGGAGTGATTCAGTATTGGCCAGTGAAGGCACCTGGATTACTTTCAGGCATTACCCTCCCCATCCCTGTGTGGGCATGTTCCAAGATCTCCAGTGGATGCCTGAAACCTGGCATAGTACTGAACCCTATATGTATTATGTTTTTTCCTATTCATGCATACCTATGATAAAGTTTGACTTATAAATCAAGTACAGTAAGAGATTGGCAACAATAATATTAAAGTAGAACAGTTATAAATAATGTACTGTAATACAAGTTATGTGAACATTGTCTCTCTAAAGTCATACTGTACCCACTGAATGCCTTTTCCATTTTAACTATGCATCTGTTACACACTGTGGTCCTCACTTTTGCAGTTTGAGGTACTATAGGAGTACTAGGACAAATTTCTTTTTCCTCACAATTTGACAGATAGAAGATTCATTTTTACGGTAGAGATTGTTTCCCCATGAAGTTGAGAGTTGTCACCTGTTCACCAAAGGAAGCACTTTATGGATTCTCTTTGGTGTACCTGAAGTGCCAGCATCACTGCTGTTGTGCTTTGGGGCTATTATTGGTACATCAAGGATGACTTAACACAGGCACTGTGATACCTTGCCGGTGGATCTGGTAACGAAGGAGGCTGCTAGGTCACTAACGGGCTGGATGCACTGGACTGAGGGGTGATTTTCTCCTCACAGGGCCAGAGTGGGACACCGTGAGATTTCATCATGCTGCTCAGGAAGGTGCACAGTTTAAAATTTATTGTTTATTTCTGGAATTTTTCATTTAGCATTTTCATACTTAGATTGACCTCTGATAAGTGAAATCATAGAAAGCAAAACCACGGATAAGGAGTGACTATGGTATATAAACCCAAATAACTCATTAGTATGCCAGACTTCTTTATATGTCTGTAAATTCTTTCATTCAGTAAATATTTTTGAGCAGCAGGTTTTTTTCCCTAGTAGCATGTATTGGATAACCTTCTGGTGACCCTATAATACTGGACTATGATTTTCTTCATTTTTTTGGTGAAGCCTCCCTGACACTAGGGGTCTCTCTAACCTGCCTGATTGACAGTGGGTGAGGAGGGAGCCAGGAATAGCACCTAGTCTAACTGTGCCCCTGATCACTCCCCTGTCTGAGAATCAGGCATGGCTTTCCGAATAAGTCACAGATCTAGCCTTCAAAGAACTCAGGGACTAATGAAACGATAAAAACTCAATTTAATTGAAATATGAGATACAAAGTGATAACTAATATTGAAACTTTGACACGTGTACCTTTCTGCTTTGCAACCCTAAGGTGTTCACTGAACCAAAGGCAGTTTGCTCAAATTATGAAGGAAAAGATCAAAGAAATCTTAAAAACGGGTGAATACAGACATTATGTTGTGTGGTACAATAAAAAATTTACAAAGAACTTTTCTTTCTGGTCTTCAGGAAGAAAATCCACCTATATTATAGCAGTGTCTGTAATCTCTTTAGCAGTGCTGAAGGTCTGAGCAGAGAGGCTTGGCTGTCACGGCAAGGTCTGTGCCAGGAGTCTGTCCACTGCTTGATGGCACCAGCCACTCATTAAGACCACCTTTCCCCAGATGAGTTGTGGACCTCAGAGGTGGTCCACCCCCATTGCACAAAGTTTCAGTGATCACCTCTGCAGCGTTTTTTCCAAGATGCAGTGTTCTATTTGCTAAGTGAAGGGAAAAATTATGAGGAGAATCATATAAGATGTTATGGAGAAATGTGGTTAAAAAAAAAAAAATCTTTCCGTATAATTGAAGCCATAGTGGAGAATGACGTATTGTTTGGGGGAATGAAGGAGGAAGTAGACATCACGGCTTAGACGACATGCATTGATACAGAAGTGTTCATTTCCTTGTCACCTATCAGACGTGGCTGGCAGATCTGCGCATAGTTTGGGGCAGGAATGCAGTCCAGAGGACCAGCGGACAGTGTCGACTCCTGCCTGTGTTGTGGCTTCCCGTTTTCTCAGCCCACTCTGCTGGTTTTTCTTGGTCTTCCTGAACATGCTGTTCTCTTCGTAGAGCTTAATGCTCTTTATCTGGAGGAACATTAACCCTTAGTAGCCACAGTGTGTTTACCATTTCCTTACTAGACTTGTGGAAGAACTGCTGCATCACGAATGTTCTTTGACGGGACTGGCGCTTATTTTTGTCCTTGCCAAGAATGCTGTGTTTAGGAAAATGTAATGAGAAAATTCTCTTCGGATTAATGTGAGAAACTGCATAAATCAAAACATGCATTCTTTGCTTAGATAACAAAGAAAGTTGCTCTTTTGGCAAGAATTATCAATTTTATGAACATGTAAGCACAAGCCTATGTTTTGACTAGGATGTGTTGTTAGCATCTCCAAAAATTACAATAGTTGAATTTGATCTAAGAAGTGTTAGAAATAGAAATGTGTTCTCAACAATGAAATTTAAGCATGTGCTCTTTTTAAATGTGAAGATATAAATGATCAGTGAGCGAGTTGGATGTGGATATGGTGTTCCCATTTCTAGAGATGCTCAGCAGTCAGATGACAACTCTGTCTCTAGCAAGGCAGTATTAGTATTGGCTGTGTCATGGTGTATCCCTTCCCTGACTCACTCATTTGGCTTACTGAGAGGTCATAATGACAAGAGATTAAAGGAGAACTAAAGTTATATAGAATGGAATATTTTCCATATCTGATGTCTTCAGAAGTGAAGTAAATCTTCCCTATGTAAGATTTTATCTCAGTAAAATTAAACAGGAAAAGAAAAAAAGAGAGAGAGTACCTCCTACAACCTCTAAAGGATATTTATAAAGTCCATGGAGAGTTTTTAAAAATTAATAACTGTTTTTAAAAATTAAAAACACCTGCAAACCACAGTCATCATTTTAATTCAAGATTCAGTCCACTCATGGAACAAACATTTATTGAGTGCCTGCTGTGTGCAGATACTGGGCTAGGTGATGGGCTGTACAGAGGAGAAGGCCTCACTTCTAAGGAGGCCAGCATGGTATAAACAGGGATTTGGAGACGCATGAATGAGTAGCACTCAGAATCATCACCTTTTCCTGAGGGAAGCAGTGATGCCTCCGTAAGCAAGGCGTGTTATGGAGTTTTTAATGCTGTTGTTTATTTTTGCTGATGGCCTTTTACCCAGTAGGGGTTAAGTGTTCCTCTTCTTCTCCTTTTAAAATAATAATCCTAGGCTGGCTTTTTTTGTGTGTGACTTCCTAGGTGCCAGGCTCTGTTTTAGGACTTAGATCTGTTATCTCATTTTATTCTCTCAGCAGCTTTATAAAGCTGGCACTGCTCTAATCTCTGTTTCACAGAAGGGGGAACAGAGATTTAGAATGCTTGAGAAAAGTACCCAAGATCAGGGAGTGGCAGACCCAGGATTCAGCCTAGGCTCTTAAGGCACTAAAGCCCCTACTCTTTTTTTTTTTTTTCATTTTANTTGACAGAGTGAGAATGAGCATGTGAGCACTTAGGAAATGGAAGACATTGTCCAGTTGTTTAAATAAATGTATTTACAACTAAAAAGGTTGTAAAAGGGGCAGTGGGAGGCAGTGAATAAGGCCGTTTTTCCACCTTTCCTAATACACTGGACAGTCTTTCCAAGGAAAAACTGCCTCCTCCACAGGGGCCAGTGGGCCAAGAATTTATATATATGTATATAGCAGGTATGGAATGATTTGCTAACAGAACAGGGTGCACCCTAATAAAGTCCCCATAGTAAAGAGCTGTGCAATCCGTGTGAGTCTGTTCCCCTGATGTCTGGGGAGCTGTGTAACAGCAGAATTATGTGTACATGTATAATTGCATGTGCCAGTGACCGTTTCTAAGCGTACCTGTTGTGCCATGGGCCCAGCCTTACTTCTGTTTTGTTATTAGAAACTTAATAGATGAGAAAAATGAAAATGATTATAAGCCCAGTGAAACCCACTTTTCCCAGAGAAGTTTGATCAGCACTTCTGTGTTTATAAAGTCATTAAAACTGCATATGAATTTTATAAACTTAAAAGTGAGGAAATTGGCCCAGAAAGGTTAAGTACTGCCTCAGTTCATATTTAACCTTTCTGAGCTTCCTTGGTGGCGCAGTAATGAAGAATCTGCCTGCCGTTGCAAGAGATGCAGGTTTGATCCCTGGGTCTGGAGGATCCCCTGGAGGAGGAAATGGCAATCCATTCCAGTATTCTTGCCTGGGAAATCCCATGGACAGAGGAGCCTGGTGACATGACTGAGCATTCACACACAGGTCATAGCTATATGGCAGCATCATCTTGCTGAGAGGTGGTACTCTCAGGTTTAATTGCCATGGATTAGGGATAAAGAAATAATTCAGTATTGCAAGGTACTTTTTGCTCCTGTAGGAGACAGCTGGAGTTCATACGCTAATGGGATGATACTAAGCAAGGTCCCTTTTTTAAAGCCTCAGTCTCTGCATCTATAAAATAAGCATGAGAATAGGAATGATTTTCCAGGTTTGTGGGAGTTAGATGACATGCAAGTAAAGCAACGTACCCTGGGTAACACACTCCATCTGTGTAATGTTTGTTGTCATTCTCTTCATTTTACAAGTGTCTTGTAAAACAAAGTCTTCCACGTTGTGTTTGCTCCTTGTGGACAGAGCCACGGAACACATTTAGAGCCAGGTTCTTGGTTTCCATCTGGGGCGTTGCCCATCCCTCTGTGCACACTTCATTTGCATGCTGTGCCTTTCTTGTTTTTTTTAAATCACCTCCCACCATGGGAACCAGCTGGCTTCCCTTTCTGTCCCAGAGTAGTTGTGAGAGCTGGGGATGTTTAAACCCATTTGATTTTTCTCAGGGTTCAGAAGAAGAGAAGGCTTAGCACAATGTGTATAGCCGATCAGCACAAGATTGTGTTGGTTGATCATCCTGGCCCAGTAGTATATCTTTGCTCGGAAGGCTGTGATTGTTTCCCTGCTTTGAAATGAGAGTTTGAAATTTCCCTCTGGTCCTAGCAACCGAGGTAAGGGGGATATTTAGGTGCCAAGTCTCATTCTGCAGTCTTGCCTTTCTGAGCTACCCACGTTTACATATGGTGGTCTAGAGAGGCATCCTGTTCCTTCAGTTAATCAACAAACAGGAAGGGGCTGCCCTTGGGGGGCTTATAAACCTTCTAAACTACAACTATTCACTGTTGTGTGTAGGTGGGGACCCAGCCCATCTAAAAATCTGGGAATCTTCCATGTGTTAGAGTGGGGTTAAAATCAGCACCCTCATTTTCTTTTCTTTCTTCGTATCTGATGAATTTCAAAATGAACATACAGACAGTCATAAAGTAATTGTAAAGCCAGGTGTTTAACAGTGAGTCAAACATTTGATGGTTGTGATATTCTAGGAAGAGCAACATATTATGTCTCAAAAGAAATAATCAAAAAAATTTATATTTGTATTTTTTTCCTGCCACTTTTTCCCCAGCAGGACACTAATATAATTTACCTGACTCCACATCATTTCCAGATTTCAGGAGGTTTTCTAAAAACCTCGGGCCGAGGTAGGGAGTTAGTTGGAGTAGTTGGTTCTGTATGAAGATACAGAAGCTGCCGGTTGTCCTGGAGTCAGAAGGTTGAGGCCCAGGCACAGGGGTGTGCTGACCGCATACTGAGTGAACACTTAGTGACCCAAATTCCCTTTGCTTGTGTGACGAGAGTGATCCCCAGGTGGAGTCTGAGAGACCAACCCAGTGGTTGCCAGTGGAAGGGAAGGGAGCTAGATGGGTCATTATCCAAGTTGCCTTCTTGTCCTTTTTCATATCAGGAACAGGATCCCCTACAGGATGATGTTTTTTTCTGGGCAGTCAGGAATGCATGTGGGCCTGCAGACAGGAAATGGGGGAACCTCCTTCCTTTAGACGGCAGCAGCTGTTACAAGGGAAATTAAACAGTGATGGCCCAGGGCCTGGAGTTCACTTTAGGAAGCAGGTCTGCCCTGTCTCCCATCATCTTCTCTCTATCCCACCTCTGTCACCAACCCTCCCGTGTTATGCATTTCTCTCTTGGGCTGATTTTTCCCAGAGTTACACACAGGCCCTGCCCTTGGACCACACAAGAGGGAATCCTTTGTTGACCATTACTCACTTCCAGAGATTGCAGGAGATTGTATTTAAAAATTTAGGGCAAAGACATATTTTCTATCAGAATATACTTTAATTATGTTTTAAAGGTAAAATATTTTATGCTGTGTGTTTAGTCTATGCAAATATATATTCAGTTAAATTTTTGCATTTTACGTTTTGTAGTTCGTCATCTTAATTGGAAGAAGTAATTATGGTCTAATAGGAATCTTCTTTCTTTTCTTGATTTGTAACGTTTTAGTGCTGCCAACTGTCCCTATTCAGAAATCAATTTGAATAAAGACCGGATTTTCCCAGATCGTTTAAGTGGTGAAATGCCTCCAGCTAGTCCATCATTTCCAAGAAGTAAAAGGGCAGACACAAATGAAATCTCTTCATCTCCTGAAACCAGGTAATTAAGGTGGTAATATTAGTGTTATTCAGAGGTACTATGGTTGAAAGACATTTTCTTCCTTAGGTGTTTTATGTTCTATGGTGATGTCTTCTAGTACATTGTTGAAAATGCCCCTGACTTTATGTGAAATAATGGTGGGGGTCAATACTTGGACTTAAAAAAATTTAGGCAAATTTTTATACAAGTATATGCACATCAGGCAAGACTTCTCTTGTGTTCATCTTTTAGCTGAACTTGCTTTATATTAGAAGTTTGGAAATCTCAGTCATTTTATTTCCTGCTAATTCATATTTCCCAATGAGCTAATCCATATTTATATAAGATCATCCTCTGTAAAGAAGATGGTAGATACCCTGTGAAGAATGGACTTTCTTTTTAGTGCTCATTATATGCCACGTGCTTGTATCTGCGTCGTTTCATTTAATTATTAGGGTATTCGTTGTACAGTATGCTCAGTCCTTTGGTTTTCATTTCCCTTGCAGAGTTAAGTTGGAACGTTTTAACCTTTGTGGATTATTTAGTAAAGAACCAAGTTTTGTTTGATGGGTCTTTAAGTAGATGGCCTCTGTCCTTGCATTGACTGAGGATGCTACAAAAAGAGAGCAGAGTAATAGAAAGATGATCCTTCACATTTACGTTTGGGGACTTTTCCTTCATGGAGAGTTTTTAAAATCTAAGGCAATGTAGTTCTTTGATTATTTTAATATTTGGTAGCTTCTATTCTCACGAATGTACCAAATGAACATTTGAATTAATAAGTCTGATTCTTAGTTCACGGCAGTGTTGTTGAAGCAATGGCATTTAAAGTATCCGTATCCTCATAGAAAAGCAGTTTTGCCCTATGGATGAAGGAGAGTTGTAACCTCTTTAATTAGAGATAACAGGGATGATTTATTCTTAACCCTTAAAACCATGACTAATGTAACCTAAACTGATTCACCTAACTCAGAACCCTGTAATGAGGGCATAATCACTTGAGGAAATTTACTTTAAGACAAATGAAGTATGAATTCACAGAGTAGTGATTATAGCCGCAGAGCTCATTGACTCACAGGGAGGTAAGGATCCCTAAAGTTTTGATTTCAAAAGCCAAGGTATGGTGTAAAATTTTTAAAGGATACTCTGCAGTGCTGGCAGTTTGGCCTTACAGGCTTTTCACTAACTTTCTGGGCTCTGGGCTGGATACCTGGGCTCCGTTCCCTCACAGAAGAAAGGAAAATGTTAACAAATGAAAGGTTGTTAATAAAGAAGTCTAATCTTCTGGCTTGAGAATGGTTGCTTTAAAGTAGAATTAACAGAGTTGAAGTTAGCTGGCTTCTTTGCTGTAAGTGAATCTGTATGAACATATTTAATATTTTTTAAAAATTTAATTTTAAAAGATATTTATTAGAGTATAGTTGATTTAAAATGCTGTGTTAGTTTCAGATGGACAGCAAAGTGAATCAGTTATACATTCGTCCACTCTTTTTTAAATTCTTTTCCCATATCGGCCATTACAAAGTGCTGAGCAGAGTTCCCCGAATTATACAGTAGATCCTTATTAGTTATTTTTTTTGTACATAGTAGTGTGTATAGCAAACATGAAGGTTTCTGATCACTGATTCTTTTACCTGGTCTTAAGAATGGTGAGGTGTACAAAGCTCTGAAAACAATGAGTCCTCAATAAATGTTAGTTTTTATTAGTTTTGTTGCAAGAGGAATAGTTTGCTTATTTGTTTCTTTTATTCCAGAGAAGCAAAGTAAGGCCGGCACATTTTTTAAATATATATGTATACCTAGGTTAAACTTCGAATAGAGCACTCAAACAAGGTGGTTCTCCTGATAGCAGATAATATTCTCTCCTCTTTCCCCAGAATCATTACTCATAATTGTTACCAAGTCAGGTTTTAACACATTTTATTTGTGTCCTTCATAATAATTTGCAAAACACTGGTCCACCAGACTGTTTTTTTTTTTTTAAGGGATTTGGCACAGCAAGAGACAGCTAGCACCCCCAGAAGCAGACCTTGAGACAAAGATTTGATTGCAGGTGGTTTATTTCAGAGGTGAGGAAAGCGCCAGTGGGGGAGTAAGGAGGTGAGGCCACGAAGGGAAGACAGCTGGTAAAAGCTTCACTGTCAGTCCAGCCACCGCTGCGGACGGCAGGAATGCAGTCATGCTGGGCCTCTCTGGGAGACTGTGTAAAACACACATCTCAGGTTTTCCCGCCCTAGGGATGAACATGCTCAGCTATTTTAAACACTTGTAAAGCAATTATCCTTCAATTAAAAAAATAAAGTGGAAAAAACAAAAAAAAGCAAACACCCAGAGTTCCCTTCCGTCACAGAACGAGGCTGCCAGGGTGGAAGGATGAGCGAACGCCCCAGCAGGCAGAGCTGCCAGCCCCCGGGTCATCCTCGGGAAGGCAGAGCAGGTGAGACAGGTGGGCACAGCGGGTGGCCAGGGGACATGGGCCAGGCATGCTGACAATGTCTGCCGCACCAGCCTAGTCTCCCACTTCAGGTGCCAGCCGGGCACCAGAATGAAGTATGCTGGCATTGCTTTTGATCCAGGAGCAGAGATAATAGGCCAGATAAATGAACACTTTGAGGAATACGTATGTCTTTTTCATACCAGAAAAGGTATTTAAGGGCCAGTTCATAGGCCACCTGCTTGGAATAGACCCACTGGCGACCGTTCTTCCTTATCTGTGCTTCCCAGGCCTGACTCCATATCTGATCCCCTGACATCTCTAATATTCAGATTAGGGGCCCAGCCGGCCAGAATCTTTCAGTCTGGAGCCCAGGAGCCTACATGTTAAAAGTTCACTTGGGAATATATCTCCCTGCTTAAAATTTTCAGTGACATCTCTTTCCTCTTGGAATTACAGGCCTAATTCTGAACGTAGCCTGCAAAACCAGTGTTATCTGGCATCTGCTGAACTCTGCGGCTTTTTGCCTATCAGGTCGTTTTTAAACTTAATGCTTCAGCTGCCTTGGTCCTCAAACCTATTCTCTCTGCCTTGAACCCCCATCTCTGCCCTGTCCTAGTGAGTCTCACCTCCTGGGCTTCAGGGTACCTCCCGTTTCCCCAGGGAAGCTTCATCCTTTCCTGCAGACCCTGGGTCAGGCTCCTCATTACCTGCTTTCGTGTTACACATCCCCAAACTGCAGATGGTTCTCTGTAAATGCTGCCTCTGAGTCTGTGTGCTGGCTCGGTGGTGAGCTCCACAGGGCAGAGGCCACATCTTCTCTGATTCTGAGACGCCCGCAGTGCCAAGGACACTACCCGGGGCTCGGTGAGGCTGGAAGGCTGCCATGAGTCATCCACTAGCCTTCAGAGGAGACCTACCAGTCATGTCACCTAAGAGGCCACCTCTGTGTAGCCTTTTTTTTTATTCCAGCAAAACTTCTTACTTTTTCAACTTTGTGCAATCCGCACCCCGGGTATCTAAGAGGTGATTATTAAATGACGAGATGAAGCCCCCCACACACATCCCTGTGCTTTTATAAATTAGAGCAGTGTTTCCAAAACTGTTGTTTGCCTCCCTCCCTAATAGAAAACCATACCACACAAATGACATGCATATGACGCAATGAGAAAGTGGTTGGGACTGCCTCTGGGTGGCTAGACAGGGGCCCTGCCTACTGACAGGGCCATCGGCAACAACATCTCAGAATACTTGCACCCGAGGGTCAGGGCATCCTGGCTGGGAAGCTCTGCTCCACCCTGAGTACTTCTGTAGGTGTGCTCAATGTTTGGGTCCATTTTCTCTACAGAGACTTGTCAAATGGGTGGTCAGCTAATGAATGAGTTGCCAGTGTGTGTATAGATAGAAACATGAGATTGTAATCCTTTCCCAGTTATCCATTCATCCATCACATGCATAAGGAGTGTCAGGATTGTGTCCGGAGCTTTCAGTGAGATGTTTTCCCTGGGAGATCAGCGGCTCACCTCTGCCCTCACTGCCCTCCTGGCAGCAGATGGTAAGGCCGGTGGGCTCTGTGACAGTCTGTGGAGGTTTCTGGGGACCAATAACCTTACATCTCTCTATGTCTGCAGCTGAGTAAGAGAATGTGTTTCTATATATCTGAATAAAACCTTTCAAAGTTTTAAACTTTTTTTTGCATCAGAGATATCAGATGCTTGTTAAAATGCAACCCTTAAGATACCATCTCCAGAGATACTGACTCAGAAAATGTAAGCTGCATCCCAGTTCATTTTTAACAGGCACCCCCAGATGATGGAAGCAAGTGATCTGTAACCCAGACCTTGAGAATCATTACTGAATATAAAGACCTTTCTCCGGAGTAATAGTTCATGATGTGTTACCAAACAAAGAACATCAGCATCTGTCTGACGTAGTCATATTCTCGTGAATATATTCTGTAGCNGATGGAAGCAAGTGATCTGTAACCCAGACCTTGAGAATCATTACTGAATATAAAGACCTTTCTCCGGAGTAATAGTTCATGATGTGTTACCAAACAAAGAACATCAGCATCTGTCTGATGTAGTCGTATTCTCGTGAATATATTCTGTAGCTGCTTGTCATTGTGTTTCTGAATTAGGTGCTGCCTCTGTTTAAAATCACATAATGTTTTAAGGTCCTGTGTTGTTTAAGCCTGCTTAGAGATAACCACAGAAACATAATAAAGCATTTTAAAAGTACCTGCACATGCTTATATTAACTTGCAAGGCAAATGCCCATTACTAACCCATATCCACAGAAAAAATTCAAATCAGTCTTATATAGGCCATTAAAACAGCTTTTCAAGTTGTAGATCCAGTGTGTCTACTCTGAGAATTATGTGGAGCAGTTACAGGAGTTGCAGCTTCAGTCTCATTTACATAGTTAGGATGAATCAGATTTGCCCATCTGTACCCAAAAGAAGGGCTTTATGAAACAGATGGGAATACAGACTAACATAAAATATGAAACTGTAAGCATATATACAGCTCTTTACTTTGCAAAACTGTAAAATCAAGTAGAGTAAAATTAGAGCCAGAAGTTCTAA